AAGCAGAGTCACAAGAGATAACGTCCCTCAGTGGACTGCTGTCCATCTCTGATGTGCCTTTAGAATACAGACCTGGGTAGAGCCAGAAGAGGAATGACCTGGGGCAGGGGTGCTGGTGAGGGTCATTACTTTTTTTGTTCTTGCTTCCTTTGCTCTCCCATGGAACTTGCCTCTTGGTTCTTGGTAGTGGAGAGGATGAGATTGCAGAGGACAACCCTGAGTCTCAAGAAATGCTGGAGGAACAACTGGTGAGGATGTTAACCCGAGAAGTCATGGACCTAATCAGTAAGTGGCGTGTGGGGATCAGGGGAATTCACTCAGCGGCCCCACATGGGCTAGGCTTGTGGTAGAGGTTCACACTGACAAGCAGAATAGTTAAGTCAATCAGCTTATGAGTTGTAAACTAAATTGTACCATATAAGAAGACCAAACAGGATCCAAAACAGGAACTTGAATTAATGTTTACAGATCCTAGCTTGATCAAGATAGGGAAAAGTTCAGCTCTTAGACATGAACATCAATTTTCTATTTTCAGAAACGTTGAAGAATTTAATATTGGTCATTTATTCCCAAAGTCGTTAAGGATGTGTTAGTCACCTTCCCTGGTCATTTATTCTCAGAGGAGTCTAATGTCCCCCTATCTGACTGGAAGAGAGACCCACAGTCTGGTTGGGGTCCTTTCAGAATACTTCCTTCCAGTGGTGAAGCTGATTTATTCCTTGTACAGTATCTACTCATCAGCTTTCATCTGGCCAGAAGTGGCCTGAGATCAGTTGACAAGGTGACTGTCATCCGTGGGTATCAGATACTGCCTTCTGGTCTAGTAACTGTGCTCTCTTCCAGCGGCCTGCTGTGTGTCAAAGAAGACTGCTGAACACAGCGCTGCTCCCACTGTGGATGGAGATGGTAGGTGATCTGTGGCTCCACTCTGGGAGAAAGAGCCAGGATATATCTAGCTGTAGTCTTGTGCTGTTTCCTCTGTTTCTATCCAGAGTGGTTTTCTTTCTAGGATAGACAGGACTCTAAGCTCTTGCTCATTCGGTCTCTGCTCAAATGTCTCCTCCAAGAGGCCTTCATGTCTAATCTGCCGAACGTCACATGCCCAAGCACTGTGTAATCTCTTCCTGTTTATTTCAGCTACCTGCATTCCTTTATTAAATTCATTTATTATTATTATTGTCTCCCTCACTATGTAGGCTGTCAGGGAAGGGACTGTGCTGTTCCTTTTATACTCCTGTAACAGAACCCATGCCTGTTAGCATGGACTCACATATGAAATATCCTAGTATCTGCAGTGTTCTGGGTACCATCCATATGTGAGTGTGTCACATCTGAGCTTCGGCAGCCTTCCTGGGGCAGGGAGGGCTGTGTAACACTGCTCAGTACCAGCCAGCTGAGGACATTCCTGTTGGGTATTCCTCTTTGCTGTGAAAGAATGAAGCTTAATAATATTCTGCATTGCTTACAGATGAAGAGATGATGGCCACTGAAGTAGCCCCTTCATCTGTGGCAGAGCTCACAGACCTGGGCAAATGCCTGATGAAGCACGAGGTGGGTAGAGGGGACAGAGAGTACCTTTCCTCCTGGTCCAGATTCTACTTTCTTGCTCTGGGCAGATGTTCTCAGTAAACATGCAGGCGCACTGCTGCAGAAACCTGGTGTTGAGCCTCTGTAGGACTGAGCTTTTGTCTGTCCTCCCCATACAGCTATTTCTCTCCACTCCCACCCTCTGTTTTTTTTTTTATTTTATTTTATTTTATTTTATTTTTTTTAAGGGACAGGGTCTCATCGCATAACCCTGGCTAGCCTGGAACTCACAGCCCAGGTTGGCTGCTGGGACTGTAGGCCCGACTTGATATATAATGCAATCAGATAAAAAATATTTATTTCCCATTTTAAACTTTCTTCCTTCCTGTTCAGGATATTTGCACAGCACTGTTAATTACAGCATTTAGTTCTCTGACCTGGAAGGATACTCTGTCTTGCCAGAGGGCAACCACACAGCTCTGCTGGCCTCTCCTCAAACAGGTATGCTTGTTCATTGTTTCAGGAATAGGTTTGTTTTGGGGGGATGGTGGGAGACATACCTAGGGCTACAAGCATGCTAGGCAAGCACTTTATCACTGGACTACATCCTTAAGTCTCTTTTTCCTTTTTCTTTTGAGACAATGGTCTGACTAAATTTTCCAAGCTAGCCTTGAACCCCAGGGAGGCTTTGACATCTTGCCGGCCTGTCTCATCCTTCAGAGTAGCTGAGGCTACAGACCTAGATCCTACCAGTTACTTTTGTATTGCTGTGACCAAGTTTACCTAATATAGACTAACTGGAAGGAGGGTTTATTTTTACTCCATTTCAGAGAGATTTCAATCTATGGTGGGTAAAGTGTGGCTAAGTTCACCATGGCAAGAGCCACAGTGATAGCTACCCACATCTTAGCAGACAGGAAGCCGAGAGCACAGGTTTTGACCAGGGGCAATTGTAGCCTTGTGACCTACTTCTGCCAGTCAGGCCCCAATTTCTAAAGGCTCCACTGCCTTCAAAATATCAAGAGATTGAGTATTCAGAACAAGATAGAGGCTCTTTGATTACTACCCCCTTCTCCTTGCCTCAGACAATTTAAGTCAGGCTCGTAGACTAAGTCAGTTGGAAGAACTGGGAGGTGGCCCCTTGAGAGGCTCCCATGGCTCCTGAGCACAGCTGTCTTCCCAGGTGATGTCTGGGACCCTGCTCGCAGATGCTGTCACATGGCTTTTCACCAGTGTGCTGAAAGGGTTACAGATGCATGGGCAGCACGATGGGTGCATGGCTTCCCTGGTCCACTTGGCCTTCCAGATATACGAGACACTGGTAAGTGGAGAGTGTATCAGGGCAGGATGGCTGGCAGTCTAGCCGCTTCACTTAACCTACCTCCCAGGATCTCGAGCTGTGATCTAAACCCAGGCATCTGCCATACTGCTTGTGCTGCCCCTGAGAGGTGGGTGTGGTGTGGAATGGGGAAGGTGACAGGCCAAACCTGCATCCATTGAGTTTATCCCCCACTTACCCAGCGCCCCAGGTATCTAGAGATAAGAGCAGTGATGGAGCAGATCCCTGAAATACACAAGGAGTCTCTGGACCAATTTGACTGCAAGCTTTTAAACCCCTCCCTTCAAAAAGCAGCTGATAAACGCCGGAAGGACCACTTTAAACGTCTCATTGCTGGCTGCATTGGAGTAAGTCATACATCCCTGTTATGACTCCCAGCCCCACACAGTTGCGCACTGTCTTATACTGTTGTGAGTGAATTCAAAACCAACTAGTCACTGACTGTTCTGCTTGTGTGTGTGTAAGACTGGCGGTGGGGGGCTCCTCTGACCCACACCCCAGACCCACTGTGAGCTGTTTCTCTTTTGTTCTCTACAGAAACCCTTGGGAGAACAGTTTCGGAAAGAAGTTCACATTAAGAACCTTCCCATGCTTTTCAAAAAACCAAAACCAATGCTGGAGACAGAAGTGTTGGACAATGAGGGGGGCGGACTGGCTACCATCTTTGAACCCTGAATCACGCTTTTAGGCATCCTTCTTCGGCCTTTGTTGTCATCTCTTCTCCCCTTTGTAGCTGATCTCTAGGCCTTCTTGTACTGCCGTCTCACTTTCCACCGCCAGCCTGGACGAGAGTGGGCCTCTACTGAAGTATTGAGAAAAGCCAGTTAGGGCTTACACCATTCCATAGAGATGTCCTAGGGAATTGGCATTCAACTTGCAATTTTGGCTTTTCCAAGAAAAGCTAGAGCACAATGGCCTTTCCCCACAGCAGCTGCACCAGCATAGACAGGAGAGGGTGCCGTGTCCAACACCATTGACCAAACTTGCAAGGGCTCAGTTTGGCTTGGACTACAATTGAGCCCCTTGCTGCTACATGCTGAACCGTCCTTAGCCAGTTGTTGTCCTTTTCTTAAGCAAGAATCTGGTCACTTGGTGGAATCCATGGGACAGGCTTTTGCTATGTACTGAGCACAGTATCCAGGGACAAGAGTAGGACAGAGTTTAAGGAACAGTGTGTTCCTTAAAATGCACATTTTGCCCTTCTATGAGTGACCCTCAGGGGTTTCCCCAGCCTCAGGGCCTACTGAGCATCACATGACACCACTGGCATCCAGACCTGGCAAGCTAGCAAAGCCACTGTCCTGGGACTGAGTCCAGGTGCCTTTGAAAGTTTCTAATGACTCTTCTCAAGGGTCGCTTCGTCTCTGGGAGGGACATGCAGCAAAGCAAGATGCCTGTTAGGAAAGGCAGATCTTTGTGTGTGTCTGTGTGCTGACAGGCACACAGCTAGGCTGGGACATGGGAACTAGTGCCAGGTCACTGTCCTTGCTGTGGCCATCCCTCTTTGCCTGGTGCTTGGGGTCTACAGGTTGTCAAAGTGATGTCAGTGTTCCCCTCCAAACTTGATAGCTGCCTTCTCCTGTCTGATTAGGGCTGTGGAGGATGTAGTTGTATTTATTATGTTGTAATATTTTTAACATCCTATGACTTCATGTTAGAAATTTTCTATTGTTTATAGAACCTTTTGTAGAAATGCTAATTCTAAAGTACATCTGCATGTCAGTAAAAATCTCCGTTTCATACAGAAGGGCCCTATCTTCCTTTTTCAAACTAGTGAGAATCTGGTTAGGGGGACTAAACCTGTTGATGGGCCAGCCAAGCTGTTAGGCAGATTTCTATCCCTGACCACCAAAACCTGGCAGCTGGCCCTCTTAGGGAAAGGGATATCTTCTGTGGAGCTGTCAGTGGCGACATGGCTGGAGCTAAAGGCAGCCTTTTTCATTGGAAGCCCAGGAGACAGGTGGCAACAAGCACTAGCTACAGCTTCTCTTCCCCACATCTACATAGCGATGGTAATTTGGCCTTTCTCAAACATCCAGGACAAAGACCTGGAAACCTTTGTTTGATCCTTAGTTGTTAATGCCAACCTTCTGAGGCAAGACTCCATATTTTTAGACAAAAAAGTCCAAAAACATTTTTGCTGGGATATCAATTTATTTACATCAAAGGCCTTACAAAGGCATAAGTGGCACATTTAATAAAATGTATTGACTGGAAATAAGACTGGAATTGGACATCTAGTCACACTTGACACAGCCATCCCAGAAATGCTATGGAAGCATCAGTCCATCTGAACTGCATCCAGCTCGTCCAAGAACCGCTGGCACTTCCCCATCAGGATTTTGATGGCTTCACTCACCAACACATCTGGTGGCAAAACTCCAGTTGACTCAACTGAAACTAGGGACCAAAGAGACACTTTAGCCCTGGCAGGATAGCTTTTACTACAAGCTAGTTCTAAATCCTATCCAAAGAGCACCAATACCGCCCCCCACTTACAGATATAATGGTCCCGAACACGGGCAAGCCGCACAGCCTTCTTCAGCTTCTCATTCCGGAAGATTTCTCTACTGAAGGTATCCAACCGAGCATTGGCAACTCTGGCCAACTTTTTACCTAAGGAAAACAATGTTACACCTTAGTCAAGTCTAAGAGCTTTTATTTTCTGCCACCTTCAAAGAGAATACACATAGGTCTTAATCCCAACAGCACACCACACACCATACCTTGCACCTCCTGCACCTCAATCACGCCTGGTGAGAAGCACCGGCTCAGTTCCTCAGCTGCCTCCCCTTCCACAGGTTCGAGCAGAGTAATGTCTGGCAGGAGTCTGTAGCTGGCTGTTGCCACTGGTGAGAACTTGGCATGATCTTTGCCTGTGAGAAACTCTGTTATTCTCCTATGCCAGGGGCTACTGCAATCAGACTTAACCCCACCCAATGGCAGACTCACGGGGTTCTCACCAATGCCCTTGACGCAGTGCATAACCAGGTCAATCTCCTGACCAGGCCTAAGCTGAGCAATGAGGATGTCGTCATGCACTGGGCGAATTGTGCCCTCCGGGAAGACATCAGCCTGGTTTCCCAAGGGGACCCATGTCATATGCCTGGTATATACTGGAGGAAAATAAGTCAGAAAATCCCAGATCCTAAAATTAGCACCCACCAGCCTGTGGGCCTTCTTCCTTACCATTGCTCACCTTTGTGGTTCACGTAGAGTTCATTGGGGTCAGAGGAATCCTTAGCAGCATTGGGATTCCTGGTACACCTGACCTGCAGCCGAAACTGCAGTGTGTCTATCTCTGTTCCTTCTTCCTCCCCTGTATAAATAAGGAGCAGAGTTTCACTAGCCCTGGCTGACCTAGAAATCATTAAGCAGAGCAGGCTGGCCTTGAGCTCAGTGCTGGGCATAAAGATAAACAACACCATGTCTGGTCCTAGCTCTAACTAGTAACTTTTCTCACAGAATAAAGGTGTCAAGCCAGCTTGGGAGACCTGAATTCAATCCCTGAAACTCAAGTAAAAACCTATGGCAAAGTTGTCCTCTGACCTTCACACCAGTGTGCACCCGCACACAAAGTTTTTTAAATAATTAAAGTACATCTGAGTGCTGGCACTATGCTGAAAGCTTGTGTGTGTGTGTGTGTGTGTGTGTATGTTTTATGTTTTATGTATGTATATGTATATATTGACAAAGTTGGGGCAAGGGCAAGTGTTCTCCCAGATGAAAGGCGATGTACAAAATGCAGACTACCTCGACTAAGGTACAGTAATAAACCTGGTATCTGAGCCCACAAGCTATTTAAGGACAATTCCTCCACTTAACTCGGAATCTCATCTTGTCATCCTCACCTTGGTTCCGATATTCAAAAAGACGAGGATCAGCAAGAATGGGGATGAGCCCCAGGCGGTGAGCAAGGATCTCATCCTGGACAATGGATGTGTTATTATACACCAGAACCTTTTCCACAGCCATTGTTGGCACCTGTCCAAGGAAGCAGAATCATGCAGCTGCAAAACCCAATTGATGTCCAACTATCTGCCTCCACAGGAAATTAAGAGATGGTCCTTCATTCTGTTCTTCAGATTTTTGAGACGGGTTCACTAGTCCAGGTTGGCCTCAGAATCACTCATCTTATTTATAGGTGTGGAATCCCTGGAAGGGATGGCTTTGGGGAACATTTCTACAAATGAGGTGATGACAGTTCTCCCTACTCCAACCCTCTTACCATGTCTTCTCTTACCTCAGCTAACAGAATTCTCCGGAAAGCATTAGCAATGGCAGCATCAATTCCCACCATGTCGAATTCCAACGTATTTTCATCCATATGTACTATGTCCACACGGAAATTCTAGAGGGATGGAGAAATATCTGATGGAACACCTGTTCTCTCATTTAATTTATCCTCTGTGTTTATTCCCACCCTCAATGGATTTGCACCCTCTCTCATCCTGAAGGCTTCCTCTGCCCAGGTGATGACTACACCTTTGTCACCAGTCCTGAGTTGGAGAGTTCTTGAGTTTCCTAAGAAGCCTGCCTGGTTTTGTCTTTTTCTGTTTCTTTTTCTTTTTTATATTTAAAACACGGGGTTGCCCTACATAGCCCTGGCTGTCCTCAAATTCACAGCAATACTTGCCACCATCTTCTATGTGCTAGGATTAAAGGTGTGCACCACCATGCTGGCTCTTCTGTGGGCTCAGATTAAAGGTGTGCACTATGTGTCTGGCTCTTCTATGTGCTAGAATTAAAAGTGTGCACCACCATGTATGGCTCTTCTGTGTGCTAGGATTAAAGGTGTGCACCACCATGTCTGGCTTTTCAGTTTTGTCTTCAGTTGAAGACACTAAGCAATATGGCTCCACACAACCCACAGAAGCGCTGCACTAAAGAGCAGAAATTCCCACACTACTTAGACCAGTTATTACTGCATTTCTATTTATTTTTTAATCTATCTTTAAAAAAAAAACACTTTAGTCCATTGGGTTTTTGGTTTTTTTTTTAAGATTTATTTTATATTATGTATACTGTGTTCTGTCTGCAGGCCAGAAGAGGGAATCCGATCTCATTACAAATGGCTGTGAGCCACCATGTGGTTGCTGGGAACTGAACTCGGGATCTCTGGAAGAGCAGCCAGTGCTGTAAACCACTAAGCCATTTCTCCAGCCCAGTCCATTGGTTTTTGAACACCAGTTTGGTTCTCTTATCTGATAGTCTTCCTAAAGTCTCTCTTTCACTCACCCTGTAAATATTACCTTCCCCTAGATTCTAACCTCCTGGGTGATTTCAACCACATTTTTGGCTTAAGCAACTGCTTGGCAACTCCTGAAACTTGGTCTCACTTTTAACATCACTTCAAATATCATCCACTTTATCTATACACATCACTCTTGAGATATAGTTCTCCAGTGGGGCAGGAGAGATGGCTCAGCAGTTAAGAGCACTGCTCTTAAACAACTGGATTTGGTTTCCAGCATCGACATGGTGGCTCACCACCATCCATAACTCCAGTTCCAGGAACCTAACTCCTTTCTCAGACTTCCTGGGTCACCAGCCACACACATGAATCATAAATAAACACACATGCAGGCAAACAAATAAACCCAAAACATTTTTTTACGTTCCAAATCACAAGGTCCATTTTCACTCACACAGCCCTCACCAAAGCAATGGTACAGATTTGTTCTCACTTCCGCTATCAGTGGCATATGCATGCCCTCGATCTCAGCTCCCACACACAAATCTAGCAGAATTCATTTCCTCCCAGCTAGTAAGGTCGCAAAATTTGATCGGTCTACTGAAAAATTCTCATTAAGCCGGTATTGCACGCCTTTAATGTCAGCACTTGGAAGACAGAGGCAAGTTTCAGGATAGCCAAGGATACGTAGAGAAACCCTGTCTCAAAAAAACAAAAACGCTCTCTATTAGCTTGCACCCCAATCTTGTCTACCACTCATGCCGACGTGATGACATCTGACAGTAATGAACTGCTGGAACAGACTCAGAGCAAACCTTACAAAACCGTGCATACTAACACTCCAATTAGGCCTTCGTTGCTCACTTTTTTTTTTTTTTTCCGGTTTTTCGAGACACGGTTTCTCTGTAGCTTTGGAGCCTGTCCTGGAACTAGCTCTTGTAGACCAGGCTGGCCTCGAAACCACAGAGATCCCCTGCCTCTGCCTCCCGAGTGCTGGGATTAAAGGCGTGTACCACCACCGCCTGGCCACTGCTCAACCTTTATTCAAAGTTAAAAAACTGAATTCAGATGTCACTTCCTTCACTGACCTTTAACTACGACCCTCCAATGGGCTGGATTCGGTGTATCTATGTGATTTCTCTGCCCCAGCCATCGTCACCGATAACTTATTACGCTGGAATCACTTATTTACATGGCCCATTACCCCCACCGAGAGCGAACAACTTGTTCCAGGAACAGGAGCTGTGCCTGACGTCCATGGTGCTCCTAGCACATGGCTCAATTTACGTTTTATGAAAGCAGCGACTCCCAACCCAAAACTTGTGAGGTCTGGCCCCGCAAGCCGTCTGGTCACCTCCAGCTCCACCCACCTTCTCGAAGCGGTCCTGGTCCCAAGCATCATCATAACCCGAATAGTTACCGGGGAAGTCAGTGGTGTGGACCTAGAAGAAACAGAGGAGATCCGTTCACGACACGGCAGTGAAGCCGGGACCCAAACAGGGCCTCCTCCTCCATATCCCGCCTCTTTCTCCTCAGTTCAGACCAGAGCTTACATTGCGAACCCCAAACTCTCCTAGAACCACGCGAGTTCGCATCTCCTCCACAGCCTGAGTCGCCGCCATTTTCCACCACGCACCGCCAGAGAAGCCTCCAAATCCGCGCACGCGTACAACCGCCCGTCGCTGTCTCCGCGGCAACGCTCCGCCTCCTGAGCTCTTAAACGTCGCGATATCATGCCCCGCCTCTGTCCACGTCCTTCACTTCCGGACGTCAATTGGGGCCAAACATCCGGGTTTCTCCTTTTTGCATTCTTGCTGGTACTACCTCGCCCCTCTCTCTTGCCTGGACGTTTCTTTCACTTGGGCTCAGGTCTCACACTGTTCCCACGAGCACGAGCTTCAGCGACGGAAAGCCTCGAGGGACATGGCGACTACGGCGACGCCGGCAAGCGGCGTCCGAAATGGAGCTGGCCCGGAATGGGGAGGCTTCGAAGAAAACATCCAGGTATTGAGAGTTCCGGCTGCCAGCAGCCCCCCCCCCCCACGGCTGACGGCCGTCCCGAGTGTGGCTGCTGTTCTCGCGCGCGGCGTGGAAGTCGGCAACACCTTCTGACCTCTCTTGAGTCGGCCACGCGAAAGTCTGTAGCTCTTGTGCTGACGTGAAAGGGCCAGGCTAAGGCTCCAGCGGGCCTCGGTCTCTGCTTGCCCGGAGCTGTGCGGACGGGGTGGGAGGTCTGTCTGGGTCAGGCACAGTGTAGGGCTAAGAGGATAGGAGTCACTGGCACGCCTTAAAGATAGACTGTGTGCATAGGCTTGTTTGAAGGTTGGGGAAGGCAGATGGGCTCTTGTGCAGCTCTCCGGAGCTTCGAAAGAGAAAGTAGGAAAACAACGTGAATTGGAGACGAGTACTAGATTTTCTGGACTACGAAAGTGTGGCGACCAAGTGTGCCAACAGTGAAAGGAAGGAGTGTGGCACTGTGGGTAGCAATTCCATCCGTGGAAGAGCAAAGCCTCAGCCCATGAGATGAGCAGAGAACAGATGGGCCCCTCACTCTAGCAGCCATTGTCTTCACAGGGTGGGGGCTCGGCAGTGATTGATATGGAGAACATGGATGATACCTCAGGCTCCAGCTTCGAGGATATGGGTGAGTTACATCAGCGCCTGCGTGAGGAAGAAGTGGACGCTGATGCAGCTGCTGCAGAAGAGGAGGATGGAGAGTTCCTTGGCATGAAAGGCTTTAAGGGACAGCTGAGCCGGCAGGTGGCTGACCAGGTAAGCAGATGGGAAAGTGGACCCATGTATGCCCCAAGTTGATGGAGGTTTTTCAGTTAGAATTACACAGAAATCCCAGCAGAGACGAGATAACAGCCCGGAGCCAAGAGTGTAATAATACCATCTCCCTTCAGATGTGGCAGGCAGGGAAGAGGCAAGCTTCCAGGGCCTTCAGTCTATATGCCAACATCGACATCCTGAGACCATACTTTGATGTGGAGCCTGCCCAGGTCCGAAGCAGGTGAGGAGCCTTCTCAGACCAGTCTGTCCTCCCTTCCAGTCCTTACCCAGACTAGAGTCAGATACTGAGCCCAAACTCTGGTGGGCTCCCCTACTGTAACCCCATCACCCTAGTCACCAAACCTGCTTCAGACTACAGTGTGGTGAAAGTCCGTCGGCTGTGTCCTCTGTCCAGCGTGTTAGCCACCTTCCCTCCACACCTCGCTCTAACAGTGCTCGCTCTGTTCTCGTTCCTCCCAGACTTCTAGACAATTCTACTCTCTTCCACCAGGCAGCTCTTCAAGCGGCAATACGTTCTTATTCCTGGGCCGGTCTCCCCAGAGACCAGCTGCACCTCACAAGCAAGCTCTGCTATCATGAGCATAGTCATTAGCTGACTTCTCAAGAACTGAATTCAATCCTGGCTTGGTTCTTTCTCAACCCTGAACCAGTGCTGATACAGAGCCCAGGGTCCTGTCCACTGAGGTTTTATTATGTGATACTGGATTCATTGTTGAGGATAGGTGGGAGCCTTGCCATTGAGTGCAGTCACAACACAGTGCTCTAGTACGACTGTGGCACACACAGGAGGGACACTTGAGCCCTGAAAGGGCTTCCCAGAAGAAGTAGTGTCTTAACTAAAAAGAATAATCCAAGAAACCTTGCTAAAACACAAGAATAAGCGAAGGTATAGTAGTCGTAGACAAAGAGAGAAATTACCTCTTTTTTTATTCTGTGTGCATGTCCATACCACTTCAAGTACATTTCTCAAGAAAAATGCCCACTGCCTGGAAGAATATAAGTAGTTGCACTGCTCTCAGGGCTTCCACATTTCCACTTACGTTCGCCTGTCTTCTGTAGGCCATGTAGTAAATCCTCTGGTCTCTCCAAGTTTTACAGGTAGCTGCTATTCCACTCACCTCAGAGAGTTGACCTTGCGGAAAGTGATTCCTTTCTTTCCCTGCCTTTCCCCTTCCCCCCTCATTCAGTACGTCCTCTGGCCCCGCCCTGTCCCCTGGTGATAGAGACGTGAGTAAGATGCAGACCCTGCCCTCCAGAACCTCAGTATATTGCTGCATCTGCTCTCCTCTCCTCTCCTAGGCTCCTGGAGTCCATGATCCCTATCAAGATGGTCAGCTTCCCCCAGGTGACTAGGGAATGGCATGTGTGTGGAGCCGGGGAGATATCGGGTAGAGTGTGGGCCACCAGATCCAGCCCCTAGTCTGAATGTGTTGTGTACTGACAGAAAGTCGCCGGTGAGCTCTACGGACCCCTCATGCTGGTCTTCACATTGGTTGCTATCCTCCTCCATGGGATGAAGACTTCTGACACCATTATCGTAAGCAGGACACAGAGCAGGCGGTGGGGCTGATGTAGGGTGAAGACTGCTGAGGATATGATGGTGTGGTACATGAGTGAAGCCAGGGTGAGGCAAGGTCAGAGGTGTCTCAGCCCTAAGCAAAGCCTTCACCCCACAGCGGGAGGGCACTCTGATGGGCACAGCCATTGGCACCTGCTTCGGATACTGGCTGGGTGTCTCGTCCTTCATTTATTTCCTTGCCTACCTGTGCAATGCCCAGATCACCATGCTCCAGATGCTTGCACTGCTGGTAAGGAGCCGATCCTGGGAGTGGGCAAGGGAGAGCCCGAGATCAGTAAGGTCTTGGTCTGCTGCTCTCCAGGAATCTGTGGACCTGGGATGGGAGGAGCAGACCAAAGAGCCCTCCATGGAGTCAAAGGACACTCCAGCCCAAGTGATGGTGCCCTCATCTCTCTCTCCCCCCAGGGCTATGGCCTGTTCGGGCACTGTATTGTCCTGTTCATCACCTATAATATTCACCTTCATTCCCTCTTCTACCTCTTCTGGCTGCTGGTGGGTGGGCTCTCCACCCTGCGCATGGTAAGCTGAGCAGGTTTTGCTGTCCACCCCACAAAGGACTCTACAAGTTTTGCCCTGGCTATCTTCTCCATCCATCCTTTTAAAAACAGGCCTTCTGAACTGTATACCTGTGGCCCTAGGTGGCAGTGTTGGTGTCACGGACTGTAGGCCCCACCCAGCGGCTGCTCCTCTGTGGCACACTGGCAGCTCTGCACATGCTCTTTCTGCTCTATCTGCATTTTGCCTACCACAAGGTGGTAGAGGGTAAGTGGCAGGAGGGTCTGTAGTGGGGAGTGGGCTGGACGAGCAGACCCGGGGGCCTGTCTGGCCAGTTCTCACTCATCCTCCATCCTTCCTCCTTTAGGGATCCTGGACACCCTGGAGGGCCCCAATATCCCACCCATGCAGAGGGTCCCTAGAGACATCCCTGCGGTGCTCCCTGCTGTCAGGCTTCCTGTCACTGTGGTTAATGCCACTGCCAAGGCAATAGCAGTGACCGTGCAGTCACACTGACCCTACCTGAAAGCCTTGGCCAGCCCTGAACCCCAGCTCTGGAGCAGAGGAAGACTGAAGGACAGTACTAAGGACGTGTATCTCTTTGAGGTCTGCAGCAGACACTGAGCTGTCGCTCTTAAACACCTCCTTGGCATGGGGCTTGGCTTCTGAAGGCACAAGGCCAGAAACTCCTGGCCAGGACTGCAAGCCTCTGCAGCCAAGTGCAGAATATGGGTCAGCTCTTCTGAGGCCCTCACCACCTACCCCTTTTTTCTCTCCCTTCCCCTCTTGTCTTGCTAAATATAGACTTGGTAATTAAAATATTGATTGACATCTGGAACTACAGCTCCTGTTCCAGCCATTCTCTGTCACCCTACCTCAGATAGACATTTCTATTCTGTCAGCAGTGCTAATGTCGTGTGCCTTCTATACCCCCACTTGGGCAGGGTGAAGGAAGGACAGGCAGTAGCTGATTATAGAAACTGCCCCTGAGGGCTAGAGATACTTGACCCACAGGACAGCAGGCAGGGCCAAGCATGAGAGCCACAGTCCTCACATATATGTACACCAGGCTTAAGTCTAGGCTGGCTGTGCTTTGGAGAAGCCAATGCAGCGATGACAAATGAACAAGTTTCCACTGACATCATTGCAAGGACCTCTGCACCTGGGCCACTGTCAGATAGTGTCCACATGCAGCTGATATTTGAAGCCAAAGATGGTTTTACTGAGGCTTAGTTTTCTCTCTTCCCTCCCAGTGTTATTTTTTGAGCAGCACCACTCTTTAGCCTCCATTGAAAAAGTAAATTCAGGCTGAGTGTGATGGTGTATTCCTTTTAATCCCAGCACTCAGGAGGCAGAGGCTGGTGGTTCTCTGTGACATCAAGGCCAGCCTTGTCTACAAAATGAGTTCCAGGCCAGTTAGGGCCAGACCCTGTTTCAACAAAAAGTAAATTCAGAGTGCTAGTTAAAAGCAGATACTGCTTTTTGGGAGGACTTGAGTTCCATTCCCGGCATCCATGGGGGATGGCTCACAACTGCTTGTAACTCCCCTTCAGCCTCAGGAGCTCCAGTGAACTCCGCGGGCACCTGTACTCACTGCACAGACACATGCGTACACAATTACAAATACAACATGGGGCTTGGGAAGATCACTCTTGGGGAGTATACTGCTCTTGCAGAGGACCTGAATTCAGTAGTTCAGCTCCAACTTCCAAGGTGGCTGGCTCAGATTTTCCTGTAACTCTGGCTCCCTTCTGGCTTCTGCAAGCATCTATACACCTGTAAGGTAAACAAAAACAAAAAAAAAACTTTCTAAAAATTTTACATAAATTCAAATAGTTAACAGAGGGAAGAGGAGGGCTTTTGGCTTTACTAGGGTTTTTTTGTTTTTGGATTTGTTTGGTTTTTTGTTTTTTCGGGGGGACGGCTAGGGAGAGTTCCAGACAAAGTCTCTTTATGAAGCTTAGCTCTGTCTATCCTGGAACTCACTGTAGACGAGGCTGGTTTTGAACTCACTAAGATCTGCCTGCCTCTGTCTCCCAAGTGCTGGGATTATAGGTGTGTGCCACCACAGTCCAATTTTTAGCTCACTTTTTTAAAAGGAAAAAAATAACACTTCTTCCTATTACACTGCCCTGTTGCACAAATGAAGTTCCCATTGCAATCATAGGGATAAAATTCGATTTCACTTTGCTCCAGTCACTTTACACATCCCCACACCCACCCCACACCGATCCCCACAGCTTTGGGTTGATGTGACACCCTTTGATTTTGGCAATCCCATTCTCCTGGATATTAAAACGTCTTCGAGGCTGGTTCACCTGCCCTACGCTAGGGATTCTGTCCTGCGCTGCCATATTGACCGGGAAGTCCCCGTAGACCGGAATCCCCACGCATGCTACGCCTCGCGTCACTGGGTTATGGGGGCGGGGCGCAGCACGGATTAAAGGGCCTAGGGACTGATTGTCCAGGGTCTTGGAGACGGCGCAGAATCTCTGGGTTTAGACTTTAAGAATGGAAAAGCACTGGAGAATAAGTAAAAGAAGTCGAAATAGCACCAAAGGCTGTCTCAACGTGACTTGCCTCCATCCTGAATCCCTCTACCTTCTTTTCACGCTGTCAGGCCCTCGGATCTTAGTTCTTCGCCCTAAGACAAGCATCGTGCTCCGGCCGCGTGGTTCACACCGGGAGGGGCGGGGCAAGAGCCAGTGACGCAACCGTTGCTATAGGAACTCGCCGCCTGCTCCGGTGCAGCAGCCTAAGCGGAGCTGCATCCCTCCCCGGCTGTCCCGAGAGCCGTGCTGCCGGGCCCGCGGCCCGCAGAGCGGGCGCGGCCTCCAAAGCCGCGAGGGAAAGGAGCTCCGCTTAGGCTGCTGCACCGGAGCAGGCGGCGAGTTCCTATAG